AGTGGGACTGCAGCTTAGACTGGCTGCACCAACTTAAGGGATGGTTGGCTGGAGACCAAGATTTCATCCCGTAGCCTGCCCCAGACTCTGACCCTCCCAGATGGGCTACAGGTGGGTGAGGCTGCCTATGGGGCTGGCATCATCCCCTGCTGGAGAAAGCCACACAGAACCAATCAGAGTAGCCTGAATTGGAGGCGGGAATCGATCTGCTTTCCTAGCTCCACCCAATTGGTGCTCGGGGAGACCCTAAGGACCTGGGACTGTGACATCCTTACATTTCACACCCCTGCCTTGGGCGGTATTTCCCTGACTTCCAGGCTCTGCCTCTGGGCAAGCCCGGCGCTCACCTTCCCATTTGGCCACTGGTCGCTTGCACATCCTCCAAGCCTGGCCCTCGTTTGGCATGAAATGCATATATCTTAGATGGTCACACAGTCCTAAAGGTGTCCTTGCGCTGTCTCTTCCAGTGAGGTAACTTGGGAAGAAAGCACTCAGGCCAGAATCCTCCTCCGGGTTCACAGCTGCAGTCCTGGCCTGCGCAAGGGTTCCTCTGCTTGAAGCCCCTAGTGTACCAGAGGGCATGGGCTCCTAGGCTGAGCTGGTATCACACTGGGCTGGCAGTAGGACCGGTCTCACAACATCCCAGGGCTTACTTTCTCTTGTCATGGGCTCTACTGGTGTGCTACAGGCAGGTCAGCTGGGTGAGGACAGTCCTGACCCATGCACCTAAGCCATGTCCGCTTACTGGCTCTTCCATCCCAGCTCAGGTCTGTAGATAGAGCTGCAAGAAGCTACCTGAGGTAAACCTGAGAGCAGTGGATTGAGAGTCAGGAAACACCAGGAGCCGTGAGGCCATCCCCAAACTCCAACATCTTCCTTAGCCTCAGTTTTACCTCCTGTGAAATAGGCATGTTATATAAATGGTACAGATTGTGACTATGCTCTGTAAAATGAAGCTTCACACTCATACTTTACAGTGGTGGGGCCACTGCAGGGGCCCTGTGGTGTAGCAGGTAAAGCCGTCGCCTGCAGTGCCATCATCCCATATGGGTGCTGATTTGAGTCCTGGTTGTTCCACTTTAGATCTAGCTCTCAGCTATGTCCTGGGAAAGCAGTATGGCCCCTGCACCTGTGCGGGAGACCCGGAAGAAGCTCCTGGCTCCTGGCTTTGGATCAGCACAGCTCTGGCTGTTGTGGTCATTTGGGGAGTGAACCAGTGGATGGAAGACCTCTCTCTCTCTTTCTCTGTAACTCTGCCTTTTGAATAAATAAATAAATCTTTTTAAAAAAATTGGAATTCTCTGTGGCTGGGAGGTGGTGTGTGTGATGACAGTGGAGTCTTTTTTTTTACTGTTTCTGCTTTTTTTTAATAATTTATTTTGTTTAAGAAATACAACTTCATGCATTTCATACATACAGATTTGGGAACATGATGTTTCTTTCCGCTGTACCTACCTCCTACCCATATTCCCGCCCATACTTCCTCCTCCCTCTTCTCTTCCCATTCTTGTTTTGTACTGAGATCAATTTTCAGTTAATTTTTATACTCATAGATTAGCCCTACACCAAGTAGAGTTCACCGATTAATATGAAGAAAAAAATAAGAATAAAAACAAGGAAACAAAGAAAACATTGTTCCCCTACAGTCAAGGCTATGACTGTTCAAAATCATGGGATCTCAAAGTGTCAGTTTCACTCCTATAGATCACATTTTGAGTACTCTATAAGTTAGCATGGATCAGAGAGGCCATATGGTATTTGTCCTTTGGTGACTGGCCAATTTCACTAAGTATAAAGGTTGCCAGTCACATCCATTTTGTTGCAAATGACAAAATTTCATTTTTTTACTGCTTTGTAGTATTTCATAGTGTATATATACTATAATCTCTGTCCAGTCATAGTTGACGGACATCTGGGTTGATTCCATGTCTTAGCTATTGTGAATTGAGCTGTGATGAACATAGGAGTACAGATAACTCTTTCATATGCTTATTTCATTTCCCTTGGGTAAATTCCCAGGAGTGGGATGGCTGGGTCATATGGTAGGTCTATATTCAGATTTCTGAGGTATCTCCATACTGTCTTCCACAGTGGCTGCACCAGTTTACATTCCTACAGTGGAGGTTTTTACTATAATAACCCCTAGCTCAAACTCCTTAGCTTCGTTGTTTTCTTCTAGAAGCTGAACTGGTTGTACTAGTTTGTTTTGCCAGGGGGCATATTTTCTCAACTTGTATTTTTTTTAAAGATTTATTTATTTATTTAAAACACAGAGTTACAGAGAGAGGGAGAAACAGAAAGAGTGAGATCTTCCACCCACTGGTTCACTCCCCAAACAGCTTCTAATGAGCAGGGCTGGGCCAGGCCGAAGCCAGGAGCCAGGAGCTTCTTTAAGGTCTCCCACATGGGTGCAGGGGTCCAGGTCCTTGGTCCATTTTCTGCTGTTTTCCCAGGACATTAGGAGGGAGCTGGATCAGAAGTGGAGCAGCCAAGCCTCAAACTAGAGCCCATACAGAATCCTGGCATTGCAGGCATCGGCTATATGGGCTATGCCACAATGCCACCAGCCCCACACTCTCCATTATAAAGCCACTTCCTCTCTCCCTCTCAGCAGGAGTTTCATTGATTCTATAGTGGAGCCTATTTTCTTAGATCTTACTTTATAAAACAGCATGCTATGAAGGAATAAGCTTCGCAAAGTAGCAGTTGGTGTCTCAGTACAAAGCTATTCCGTCTAGCCTCATGGCCAAGCAGCCACCAGAAAGAGAACTTTGGAGGACTACGGTTTTGTGGGTCAGTAAAGCAAATCAGAGGGTGCTGTGAAACCTGACTTTAGGCGTGTACTTTCCATGTTAGCAGCCTGAAGGTACAGCAGTTGACAACAAAATGATGGTGAAGACAATAGAGTGAGAGCCAGGGACTATCCACTGTCTAGTCTTATCACTGACCCAGGGAATCTGCAGCAAGTCGCTTCCCATCTTAGTTCTCAGTTTTCTCAACTAAACTCAAACTGCCATACTGGGGCTCTTTCAGTCTGAGAGTCATTTTCTGATTATTGGGGGAATAACCACGGCATCACTCTGGTTTCCTCTGTATTGACCATAACCCCTGACATGCTATTTCCTTCCCATGACAATGGCTCTGTTTGGGCTCCACTTGCTTCTAATTCTATAGCAGCTGCTGCAGGTAGGAAGATTCAAGGCTTTCTTGAGAGGCAGAGTGCTGGCTAGATTCTTTCTTTACAACTTCTGAGTTTACTCTAAAAGTTTCATCTCTACTTCTGTGAAGTCAAAGTAAACATCAGTACAGTGTGTAAGTCTGCCAGCAAAAGAGGTATGAGTTTTAGTTTATAAAAAAAAAAAAAGATTAGACTAGATAATTTTTGTCCCATGTCCAATCTCACTTATCTCATTTCTTTGCATTATTACACAATTGTCACACAGGCTGCTAATTTGAGAGTGTAATGTAAAAGTGCTGGGCTGAGAGTCAGGAGTCGAGCAAGGCCTTACTAGGTAGATAGATGCATTCCCCTGTCTGAGCCACAGTCTCCTCATTGGCATGCTATTAGTTGAATTGTGTCCCTCTATGAAATTCATATGCTGAAGCTCTAACCCCCAGTATCTTGGGGTGTGATGTTATTTGGAAATAGCATTGCTGCAGATGTAATTAAGACAAAGTCATATGGGTGACTGGGGTTATAAAAAGGGGAATTTAGACACAGATTCAGATGCTGGGAGAATGCAACATGCGGAGACAGGCAGAGATCAGAGTGATTGTTCTGCAAGTGAAAGAACGCACCAGACTGTGAGCAAATCACCAGAAGCTGGGGGAGAGGCACAGAACAGCCCCTTCTCTCACAGCCCTCAAAAGGAACCAACCTTGCCCATACCTTGGTCTCAGACATTCAGCTCCCAAACTGGGAGAGGATTACTTTCCGTTGTGGTTTGTTATACTTTGCTATGGCAGCGCCACAAGACAATGCAACAACTTCATGAGTGGTTTCCAAACTTTATTACCAAGAGCATTTTTTGCTCTTCGTCCTCTTGTGGAGCTAATTCTTTAGTTCAACATTTATTGAATGTCTACCATGTACCAGACTGTATTGTAGGCATTGGGGTTACATGATCCCTCCCTTTGTGTTCATTCTGTTTTCAACGATTTAGTCTACCAGCTTCACTATGGTTTATTTCAGTAATTAGTATTGAAAATCCAACAAAGGTGATGTTTTATGTACCTTTGGATGGTGTGCAACAAATACAATAACTTCATTAGGTCTTTTAAAATACTGGCAAGTGTTTTCCAAGCCTGCATTATTACATTTATGGGCTCCCTAGGGGCTTAAGGATGGCATTGTTGGATGATTAGCTACACCAAGGTTAGCAAACTTTTCCTGTAAAGGAACAAAAGAGTAAACATTTTGAGCTTTGGGAACTGTAACATCTTGTCATAAATAGTTAACACTGCCATGGTAGACAATAGAAGTTGAATAAGCATGGCTGAGTTCTAATAAAATTTTATTTATGGATTTTGAAATTTGACTCTCATTATTTTTTCATGTCAGTGAGATGTTTTTCTCCTTTTGATTTTTTTTCAGCCCCTTAAAAATGGGGAGGGGAAAAAAACTCTCAGCTTAAAACCAGCTGTCAGCCTGTATTTGGTCTGCTAGTCACAGATTGTGGACTCCGGCGCGAAATTCCCTCTGATTCCGGCCCGAATTCTTACAGCAGGGACTTGTTATCCACCTCAGGGTCTGCACGAGACCCGGGGAGTGATTGGAAAATTCGAACTAAAGCAGGCTTCTTGCCGCCCGGTCCACAGCCCTTCGCGGCGCTCTCAGCTGCTGGTTTAGTCCCGATTTCACATGTGGTCTTTGTTGCCATGTGATGCAGAAAATAGATGTGTGGTCAGCAGCCCTTTCCCGGCGACGCCCTTGTAAGGGCTGTCCTCTCCGCAGCAGCCAGTGGAAGCCTAAATTTGTCAGCCCGACCCGCGCCTTACACACCCTTTTTGAGGATCCCTCTCTCCGCTTGCGCAGGCTCAGGAGGCCCATCTCTCCTTACTATTTGAGTCCCTGTTGTCTCATTGGCGGCTTTCTGAGCAGCTGCAAAATATGTTTTTAACTTTAAGTGGAAGTTGGGGTCACCGGCCAGGCGGCTGGTGCGGTCACTCTCAGCAAGGGCTCTTCCAGCTCTGCCGTCTCTAGTTTTACCGACTCCGGTGAGTGTTAGAACTACCTCCTCCCCGCTTCCCACGGCTGGACTTCCAGCGCGGGCAGTAATTACTGAGGCGTTTGCTCACCGGCTGGTGGAATAATGTACATTGCTTTTGTGTGTGTTGTCCATCTCGGGAACTGCTCCGTTGCCTAGCACCACAGCCTGCTCGTCTCTCCTCGCCGCTCATCTGCTCGGGTCGCCTTGGGGCGACAGGGACCGAGACGGGGACAAGAGGTGCTCGAGCGAACTCAGGGGCCAGCGGCGACGCCGCCCGCCAGGGAGGACCATGCTGCGCGGCAAGTCCCGGCTCAATGTGGAGTGGCTGGGCTACTCGCCCGGCCTGCTCCTGGAGCACAGGCCGCCCCTGGCAGGGCGCACGCCGCGGAGCCCCCATCGGTAAGTCACGTGACGCTCCACCCGGTCCCCGCGCAGGAGTCTGCAGCCTTGCGTCACCGCGCCGCGCCGCGCTTGCGCGCTGCTGTCCGGAGCGCAGAAGCGCTTCCGGCCCGGCCAACCTAGATCTGTCCCCAGCCCAGCGGCCGCCGACTTCAGCGCCCAGCTGCCAGCAGAGTGCCCGCTGCCGGCACCGCGACGCCATGGAGCGCCTTGATAAAGCGGCGCTGAACGCGCTGCAGCCGCCCGAGTTCAGGTAGCCCTGAGGGAGGCCCGCTCTTGGAGGTGGCCGGCCTCCGCGTGGAGTGGGGCCTAAGGGAAGCCCGAGCAGAATGGGGTGGGTGTGGGCCCCGGAACCTCTGGGTCCTGCTGCGGGATAGCGGAGCGGGGGAGCAGGGGGCAGATTGGAGTACACCGTGTCTGCCACCCCCCGACCCCAGCTTTCGCCTGGAAACGGATCCCAGGTCGTGTCGGGTAACGGCCTTTGCTCGTGCTTCTAACACTTCCTCTCTTTTTTTCATCCACATTGAGATCCTCAGAGCCCAGTTTGTCTCCCCACTGCAGGGTTAGCTTCCTGAGGACCGGGGTTCGGCTTCCTTCATCTCCAGGGCCCCTCCAGGGCTTGATAAATGTTTGCCGTATGAATGAACGAACGCAGGCGAGTAGGGGCTAGCCTTCATGTGAGATTACTTCCCCTGAGTAGTCTATCAGTAGGATGGGGATCGGTGGCTGAGCAGAAGGAATTGGATAGAAAGCAGGTGTGTCTGGCCCACCTCAGCAGGCTAGGGAGTGAACAAGGAATTAGCTACCACTCTTTGAGATCTGTGTGCAAGGCTCAGTACAGACGCTCTACATGCATTATCCGACCGAGTTCTTAAGACTTCGTCCCTCTAGCTGCTTAGTTTCCCAATTTCAAGGAGGAGGAAGTTGACTCAGAATAAGTGACTTACCCAAAGATCACAGATTTAGGTCGTGCAATTAATATTGAACTGGCATTTGATTAAGCCCATGATAGCAACAGGAATTTTTATTAAATCCACTTAGAATGCAGTGTAGCCCTCCAGACCACTGTTGTGGTGCCGCTTGCAATGCCAGTACTGCTGGCTGCTCCCCTTCAGATCCAACTCCTTGCTAATGTGCCTGGGAAGGCCACAGAAGATGGCACCAGTACTTGGGCCCCTGCTACCCACCTTGGAGACCCACATGAAATTCCTGACTTCTGGCTTCAGCCTGGCCCAGCCTGGGCTGTCGCAACTATTTAGGTAGTAAACCAGTGGATGGAAGATTCTCTCTCCCTCTCTTCCTCTCTCTCTGTGTAACTCTGCCTTTCAAATAAATACATTAAATACATCTTTACAAAATACAGTGTGGCTCTACTAGAGGGTTAGTAGTGCTTCTGTTGGAAACTGCAGTGGAACCTTGCCCTGTAAGTCCTGCTTGCCACCAGATGAGCTGCAGAAGCTTTATGAGGCGGGGAAACTCTAGGTGGTGCAAGGATTGCGGGCACACTGAGATTCATCCTGATTTGTTTCCTTTGTGTGAGGATGACTTGAATTCCCGTCTTCCCCACTTTTCATTTGTAACAGGTTGTGGTAACACTCAATCAGGTATACCAAAGAAGTCAAATGAATGAAATGAGTTGCTTTGTTTTGGAATAAAGTACTGATTCTACCCAGGCCAGTTTGTGCCAGAAGAACCAACAGCAGCAGTGGCCAGGGCTGCAAGCCAAGGACAAAATGCTCTATACACACTTAGAGGAAGTTTGCTAGTTTTCAAATTTGTACGCTTTGACCTTATACAGTTGTGAGCCACATAGAGACATTTTGATCAATGATAAACTGCATATATGAAGGTGGTCTCATAAGATTATATTGCCTAGTGATGTTTAGTCATCTTAGTTTGTGTGATGTTCACACTTAATTATTTTTTAAAGATTCATTTTATTTGTTTGAAAGGCAGAGTTAGATGAAGAGAGAGAGATCTTCTATTCGCTGGTTCACTCCTAAAAATGGCTGCGGTGGCCAGGGCTGGGCCAGGCTGAAGTCAGGAGCCTGGGCTGGGACTTCATCCAGGCCTCCCACGCAGGTGGCAGGGGGCCAAGCACTTGGGCCATCTTCCACTGCTTTCCCAGGTGTGTTAACAGGTAGCTGGTTTGGAAGTGGAGCAGCTGGGACGCCAACCCATGCTCATATAGGATGCCAGCTTCATAGACAGATTAACCCAGCATGCTACAATGCTGTCCCACACATAACAATTTCATTTCTCAGAACATATCCCTGTTATTAAGCAACACATGACTGTACTTAGCTTCATATTAGTGACTGCATAACCAAGAAAAGTAGTCAAGTTGTTGAAGTGTATGTGAAAGTGAGCAGTTAGAAGGAACTGAAGATAGGCTACAACTCACTAAGGTATGCTGTGTGGAGAAGTGGGGGTAGGGAGACGAGAAATGAAGGTTATGTGTTGGTGGTAGTGTTGTAAAGTGGTTTTGTTTGAAATGTTTTGAAGGTGTCAGATCATCTTTTCAATAATAAACTTTTGTAAAAACCAGACAAGATAGTAGATACTCAAGAGAGATAATCTAACAAAATAATAGGTTGCTCTCCCTTTCTCTGGATTATTTAGCAAGTTAGATAACCTATAAGTTGCATACCTAAAACATACTGCTGACCTCATGTTTAGGTTTTTACCTCCTTGAGGCCCAATATTAGAATATTTATTTGCGATCGTTCTTCTTTTTTGATGTAGCCATTTATTGCTATAACCTTTTCTCTTAGAACTGCTTTTTCTGCATACCATAGGTTTTGGTGTGTTGTGCTTACATTAACTTGTTTCAAGATACTTTTACATTTTCTCTTTTGCTTTCTTGTGTGACTTATTAATTGTTAAGGAGCAAGTTGTTTAATTTTAAAATATTTGTGGGTTTTCTAAACTTCTACCTAATGTTGATTTCTAGTTTAAGACCATTGTGGTCTGAAAAATACTAGATGTGATTTCAATCTGCTTGAATTTGTTGAGACTTGTTTTGTAGCCTACTACATGTTCTATCTTGGAGAATGTTCCATGGGTACTAGAGAAGAATGTGTATAATGCTGCTGTTGGATGGAAAGTTATATGTCTGCAGGTCCATTTGTTCTAAAGTATAGTTCAGGCCCAGTATTTCCTTCTTAATTTTCTGCCTGGTTGACCTATCCATTATTGAAAGTGAAACATTGAAGTTCCCTACTGTTATTATACTTCTATATACTTCTTCCTTCATATCTGTTAATGTTTGCTTTATGTATTTAGGTGCTCTGGTATTGGGTGCAAATATATGAGGGGTCTTCAAAAAGTTCATGGAAAACGTGTACTATGAAAATGCATAGTATGAAAAACTATGCATGTATTTCACAGACTTTGCACCAAAATCTTTTAGTTACAAAAACTTTCTGAAGTAGCATTTGTATTTATAGTTATGTTCTCTTGATGATTGAATCCTTTGTCATTAAATAATCACGTTTATTATAACAGTCTTTGACTTGAAGTCTGATTGATCCGATCTAAGTATAGCTACCCCTCCTTTTCTGTGGCTTCTATTTGCATGAAGTATTTAACATTCCTTCATTTTTCAGCCTATGTGTGTCCTTCGATAAAATGGGTCTCTTATAGGTAGCATATAGGAGGATCTTTTTTTAATCCATTCAACTACTCTTTGTCTTTTGACTGAGAATTTAATCATTTACAGCAAAGATTATTATTGGCAGGTAAGGACTTATTCCTATCATTTTGTTCAGGGTTTTATAATTATCCTATAGGTCCTTTATTCATTTCTTTGGTGATTTTCTGTAGTGCTGAACATTGGATTGATGCTTGATACACTCTCTCTTGTTTGTATACCCGCTGTTGTTTTTTGCTTTGTGGTTACCATGGACTTACATAAAGCACCTTATGGTTATGATAGATAATGTCCCTATGCTGATGTCTGCATATTTGGCTGAACAGTTGCCTTGGAGTGTTATTTTTTAAAAAATATTTATTTGAGAGGCAGAGTTATAGACAGAGAGACAGAGAGAAAGGTCTTCCATCCGCTGGTTCACTCCCCAAATGGCCACAATGGCTGGAGTTGGGTCGATCCTAAGCCAGGAGCCAGGAGCTTCTTCCGGATCTCCCATGTGGGTGCAGGGGCCCAAGGACTTGGACCATCTTTCACTGCTTTCCCAGGCCATAGCAGAGAGCTGGATGGGAAATGGAGCAGCCGGGACTTGAACCAACGCCCATATGGGATACTGGCATCGCAGGTGGAGGCGACTTTACCCGCCACACCAGAGCGCCAGGCCCAACCTCGGAGTTTTATACAGTGGCTTCTGTAGCAGAAGCTTTTTACCTGCAGATGGCTTATGAGGTATTGATTGTGCAGGCTAGATTGTGTCTGGCTGTGACTGGGCACAGTGGTGTAGTCGTCATGTAACTGCTTCAGCTGTGATGAATGTCAGCCATGACTGTGGGTTTTTGGTGGCCTAGGTGCAGGAGTTGGTGGCAGCAGTGGTGGCAGGGTAGCTCCCTAGCATCCTTGATAGATGTCAAGTCCTTTGGGAACCCTCTGTCCTCATTTTCCTCACATTGATACTTAGCTGAAGGGATCCTCGTGGTGATGGGTCTGATGTTCCAGAGCCCAGCTGCTTAGAGAGGCTGTAGAGCTGGGGTTCTGGCCTCTGTGCCTATTGAACTGTTGTGGCACTTGTGATGTGGCTACAGGGCCGCTAAATATTCCAGTTAATAAGTTACGTTCCATAAGTTTTGAAGCATTGGTTTTGGATTTTGTCATAAAGGATGAGTTACAGAACTTCTTTTTTCTTTTTTTTAAAGATCTATTTATTTGTTTGAAAGGCATAGTTACAGAAAGGCAGAGGTAAAGGTAGAGAGAGGTCTTCCATCTGCTGGTTCACTTTCCAAATGGCTGCAACAGCCGAAGCTGGGCCAGTCCAAAGCTAGGAGCCAGGAGCTTCTTCCAGGTCTCCCAGGAGGATGCAAGTGCCCGGGGACTTGGGTCATCTTCCACTGCTTTCCTAGGCCATAGCGGAGATCTGGATCAGAGGCAGAGCAGCTGAGACTCGAACCAGCACCCAGATGGGATGCTGGCATTGCAGGCGGTGGCTTCACCCGCTGCGCCACAGCACCAGCCCAAGCATTTCTGATCTTACTAGGTTTATGATATTTATACATGTGTTATTCTGTTGAGATATTTGAGAGTTCAATGCTGTATGAATAAACAAACAGGTAGTCTTTATATACTGTTCAATGTCTTGATAATCAAGCCTGGAATGATATGCAAAACACAGTCAGTTCCCGTAAATCTATGAAATAAATGAATGATTGACAACTCAGACTGACGTTTTCACCTTAGCAGTTGGCAGTGAGTCCTCGAATGCAGCTTACCTAACGAACTGTACATCTCTGATGTCGGGCATACTCTGTGTGGCCACATTTTTCCTTTGTCCTCACTAGCTGTGTTCCTGGAGCATGCCACCTTAAAAGGCCTCCAGGCCTTCCTCCATGTCGGTAATGTGGAGTGACAGTTATCGACCTCAAAGAGGTACACAGTAAAGGACTTGGAACCATGTCTAACATCTGCTAAGTTTATATTGGTCCTAGCTCTTATTATTAGTTTCTTCTATACTATATTCTATTTTCCTGTGTTCCAATTCTCTATATTTGTATATTGCTTTATATCTTTTGTATATTACTTTAACAATGAAAAAATAAAGTGATTTTCAAAAAAAAAAACCCACAGCTTTTGTGTAAACACAGCTGTTTTGCCAAGCTGAGGAGTCTAACTCTGAGGCACTCACTCCATGGGACCTGAGGCACGAAGGGTAGGAATATAGCAATGACTGTGACCCTAGAGTCCAAGTTGCAGCACTGACATGTCTCTGGGGAGGGAGGGGCATCCCAGAGGCTTGGAGCCTGAGGAGCAGGGCATAGCTGCAGTGCAGATGCTGGAGCCAACAGAGCACAGTGGCAACTCAGGCACAAGGAGAGGGAACCCCCGACCTTGGAGTGGTACAACATAGCATGGCCCAGGCTCTCTGAGGCTGGGGACAGTGGCAATAAGGACCCCAGAATGGGTGGGCACAACTGTGCCTTGGGCTCCAGGGATGAGGCGTCTTAGCAACTGGGACTCCAGAGAGCTGGGCCAGATACCGGGAGGCAGGGCCCTATAGCTGTGTGGCACCGCCTGGCCAATGGTTTGTTTCCTGGAGGGAAAGGGCACCACATCAGCTCGGGTATGCTTGTGAGGCATTGGGGTGTATAGGGCTGCTCCGCTAGGCTAGAGCATGCTGGAGCACGTGGGCTCCAGTGCTGAGCCCTCCATCTGCTCCCCAGGGACAAAGCTCTAGTTGGGGGAGATGAGTCCCCTGGTTGGATCAGGAGATGAAGGCATAGCTGGGTACATGCTGCTGTTGGGTGAGAGCAGACAGCTCTGCTCACGCTGAGGGCACCATGTGGGCTCACCTCTTGATACACTGGCAAGGCACTTTGCCCTCATGGGCTTGACCTCAGTAGGATGTCCCTGGCGCTGGGGCTGTGCTGACTGCTCTTCGGAGGTCCTGGTACAGTGGCGGGGTACTGTGCATCCGTGTGCAGAATTGACCTCCATTATTGAGACAGCTCTGCCTGCTCTGAATCAGTTACACCACATCCGAATGATCACGTAATTCCCATGTTTCAGCTACAGACAGCTGTCTCCCTGCCTCTGTTGTTCCTCCTCTGACCTATGTTCCTAAGGAAGGGGTGGGTTTTCCAGTGTCTCACCTGTGGATACTTATAATATTAGGGACATAAGACTATGCGGATATGGCTCTGTCAGTTTTAATTTTCTGTTTACTTTATTCCAGAAGTGAAAATTCGCTAGCATCTACCCTGAAGACACTCCTGTTCTTCACAGCTTTAATGATCACTGTTCCTATTGGGTTATACTTCACAACAAAATCTTATATATTTGAAGGTAATTTTAGACCCTTAAAACAAGACATTCTCCCCCTTACTAACTTAAGTCCTGTGCATTTTTGTCCTCTTTATATCTGTTAACTAGCTATTCTTATTTTTTTTCTTCTGTTTTGCTCTTCAAAAATCATGTTGCTTATGAGTCTTCATGCGGCAAAGGTTTTCGTCACCTGTAGTTTTTATTGGTTTGACATCTTATTTATGATTTCTGTGAAACAGCTTTCAAATCTTTTAGGATCCCTTTGAGTACACCGGTTGGCTGAGATGGGATAAGGAATTTGGGGGAATGGACTTTTGGTGTCAAACATTAGAAAGAGGAGAAAGTGAGGTCCCGTTTTTCGTGTTGAAGTCCTTAAACAGACTTGTAATCATGGTTTCATTTAAAACAATGTTCTTAGTGTATAGAAGATACTCAAATCTTTTAATGAGTACTTGATTAATTACCATCCAAAATGTTACTTTCTAGTTGCCTGATTGTCAGATACGTATGTAGCTCATAAAATTAGTGTGCTTTGTGTTTTGTACATGGTAACTTTGAAATAAAATGGCCACTTTTTTCTCTTGCTAGGTGCCCTTGGGATGTCCAATAGGGATAGCTACTTTTACGCTGCTATTGTTGCAGTGGTTGCAGTCCATGTGGTGCTGGCCCTCTTTGTGTATGTGGCCTGGAACGAAGGCTCAAGACAGTGGCGTGAAGGCAAACAGGATTAAGTCAACATCACTTTTTGATAGCATTAAATTCGTTTTTTATATGGTAAATGCTATGGGGGCATTGGTGAATTTCAATAAAATTGACAGAACACATGAAAATCAATCTTAAGGAGTCACATTTGACTATTATAAATTTTGATCCTTCTAATACAATGGCTTGTGTAATTTAATGTATGGTTCTCTTATTTTCAAATGAAAGTTTGGAAAAGTTAAATTAATTCCAAATGAGTATGTTAAATTAGTTACACATTGTTCCAGGAAAGAATTTGATTATTTTACAAAGAAAACTTTTCATAACATTTTGCCTTATAGTTTTTGAGTTTTACTGCTGGATGTATTAAGATGTATACAGCAAAGCAAACCTTACCTTCACCTTAGACTGGAACGCTTTGCCTAGCAATTATGGAAATACCTGGTCTTTGGCTTTGGAATTTTTATTTCTGTATGGAAAATCGCTCAAACTGTGGACAATGGAATTAATCTGGATACCCTGAGGAATTTTGGATGAAGCATCAACCCTAGTCAGTAGGACACTGTCGTTGTATTATCGTATTGGGAAGGGGGCGGGAATTAGACTAAATCGCAGCCGTTCTTGTAAAAGAACTTGGGCTGCCTGAAGGGCCCAGAGAGCAGAGGGAAGAGCTTGCTGTGTTTTAGGCGGAGGCACGGAGCCTGCCTTCCAGAGGCAGGAAGCTGTGTGCTTGACAGCCAGTTTTTCCGTAGTCAGTTTGGCTCCTACATTCAACATTCAAGGTAGGCTTCAATTGCAAGGCTTGTGGAAATTCTATTGAAGAGTGCTTTTTTTTGATTTTTAAAAATTATATTGTATGATATGATAGGAATTTACATTTAAAAGTGTTCATTTTTGCATATATTGGGAATATACACAAATCTGAAGACAGATTATTTTTGTTACTCAAAAAGTATTCTTGTGATTTCCAATCTACAGGTCGTTTTAATCAGAACTAAGTTATATCTGTGTGTCTGTATATTTGAAAGTATAACATATATATATATAAATATATATAAAGTCTATGTCTAGCTACTATAAATATATAGTAGTTAGATAATCCTTGAGGTCCTTTCTGATGGAAGAAAAACCAAAAACCCTATGATTTTATTTTAGTATCCTTAGTTTGTGTTCTTTCTCGCCATTTGGTATTATTTGTGTACAATCTAAAAATAGTCCCCCAAATGTGTATTTTTTATTATAAACCATAATAGACGTTCTCTATAGAAAACTGGAAAAATTAATATTCAAACAGGTAAACAGGTTTTTTTTTTGAAACTGTTTGTTAATGTTAATTGGATACATGGTAAAAGTTTGTTTTCACTTAAAATTCTGTCAACTTTAGCTGATAGCGACTTGCATTTTTTTCAGATAAGTGACTATTGGCCATTTTCTTAAAAAGCACAGTCTACCTATACTCTTTGAAAATTTACATTTCCTGTTACTGAAACATGAACAGAATGGCCCTTGCTTAAATGTTTGCTATTACCAGTTTGTTCACACTCAATATTTTTTATGTTGCAGAGCTGGAGAAAGATGATTTAGTATAAAAGTTAAGTGTGCGTTTTCATTTATTTAATTGCTAAGAAAAACACTAGACTAGTAGGAAAATTGTAGGGTTGTTTTGAATTCTTGCTCCTGGTTAAATATTGTCTACAATTTAAACGTCTGTAAGCTGTTATTCTAAATGTAAAGCTTGTTTTATTTTGTGTGTGCAGAGGGTACAATTTTAGGAAGATGACATTTGACTCTGGGGCAGTGTGTGGTAGATTCCTAGGTGCCGCCGTCCTGAGATGGTCTGCTGTGTTTAGAATTAGCCACTTAATTTCTTTTTTCTATAATGGGAAAAGTTTTTCTTGTACTTTTGAGATTTTTTTAAATTGACAAATGGAATATATTCTTTTTTAGTTGAAGAGTTACAGAGAGAGAGACAGAGACAAAGAGAGGGAGAGATCTTCCATCCATTGGGTCACTCTCCAAATGCCTGTAACAGCCAGGGCTGGGCCAGGAACTCCATGTGGGTCTCTCACATGGGCGGCAGGGGCCCCAACACTTCAGCCATCATCCTCTGCCTTCCCAGGTGCATTAGCAGGGGGACCGGATAGAAAGCAGAGCAGCTGGAACTGGAACCTGCACTCAGATAGAGGATGCTAGTGTTGCAAGTGGTACCTTACCCCTCTGCACCACAATGCCAGACCCATACTTTTAGAATCTTATGATGTTTGTAAAATATTACTACCTGATATTGGATTGTTTTGATGGATTTTATATACTTGCTGAATAGATAATGATATGAACATTTTTCAGCAAGTATATAGACTAGGCATACATGCAAAAGCGGTTGTAATTTTTTCTTGGAAAAAGTACCAAGTGTTTGAAAGTTACAATCAGATGCCATGATTGATATTTAGACTTGTTTTCAAAACTTTTTTTTACCTAAGTTTTTATCTGTTAACTCACTAGTTTGCTGCTGTTACTTATGTTAAATAACGTCTAGTATTTGGAAATAGATTTATTTTTCAAGCCATGACACTGGTTTCTTCTTGCATAATGTATATACTTGAAGATGTATGGAAAGGGAAGTTACATTTGAGCCCTTATAAATGTTATAAGATAGGAATCTGTTCACTGTTGTTTGAAATCTGACTGTAAAGAATAACCTCAGTTAGGAAGTGTAATTGGAAGTGACAGTCCGAGCTACTGATTTAACCTGTTGACTGTATCACATCACCTTCCTCACTCCCAGTTTGCCCCCCATGATGTAATTCTTTCCTTAGTGTGCCGGGAAATGGAAAGTCTGCTGTAGAATGCATCTGATGTCGGAAGCTCTTCAAATGGATACCATTTTACCCATCAGTCGAATTTGATTTGTTAGTGAAGAAATTTAAAATTGCCATAAATAAAAATCTGCCTGTATTTCATGCATATGTAACTAATAGATAATAATAACTAGAATGTTTTCTTTTTTTAAATATTTATTTATTTACTTGAAAGTCAGCGTTACACAGAGAGAGGAGAGGCAGAGAAAAAGAGAGAGAGGTCTTCCATCTGCTGGTTCACTCCCTGATTGGCCACAATTGCCAGAGCTGCACTGGTCTGAAGCCAGGGGCCAGAAGCTTTTTTCGGGTCTCCCACACGGGTGCAGGGGCCCAAGGACTTGGGCCATCTTCTACTGCTTTCCCAGGCCACAGCAGAGAGCGGGATCAGAAGTGGAGCAGCCAGGACTCGAACTGGTGCCCATATAGGATGCTGGCACTGCAGGCGGCAGCTTTACTCGCTATGGCACTGTGCCAGCCCCACTAAAATGTTTATCATAAAAATATCATTGACTTTGCTAAAAGAAGCAACTGATTGATTTGTTTGGTATTTATTTTCCATTGTCATATTAATTTTATGTATACAGTTAGTATACCCAAAGAGACCAGTAAAAACAGTTAAGTAAGGTATACCCAAAGAAAGATTAAGGCTGCAAGGACAAGAAATGCAGGATTTAAATCCTGCGCCTATGTGTCTAGTGTGTATTTCTTGTCTCCAGACAGGCTTATGTTGTGTAATTTATGCCCAAGTGAAGCAGTAGGCTGTTGTTAGGCCCATTTGATATGATTCAACTGTGGTACAGAATTTGTCACTCGTTTAGGTCAGTGGCAGATTTCCTTGCTGTCAAGTACTTTGTGTTGCCCACTGGATTAGAATGTCCATTAATTCAGACTTTGCTCCCTCCAGGTTTAAGATAAACAACTCTTTTAAAGATTGACTTATTTATTTGAAAGAGTTACACACACACACACACACAAAGAGAGAGAGAGAGAGAATCTTCGATTGGCTGGTTCACTATCCAGGTGACTGCAATGGCCAGGGCTGGGTCAGGCCAAAGCCAGGAGCCAGGAGCCAGGAGCTTCATCAAGGTCTCCCTCGTGGGTGCAGGGTCTCAAGGACTTGAGCCATCCTCTGCTGCTTTTCCCAAGGCATTAGCAGGGAGCTGGATTGGAAATGGAGCAGCCTGGACATGAACTGGTGCCCATATGGGATGCTGGTGTCAAAAGCAGAAGCTTTACCCTCTACTCCATCATGCTAGCTCCTAAGATAATTTTTATAAGAGCTGGTTCAAAGTGCACATTAGTAACTTGAGATCTGTCCTGCCTTTTGCAAGAGGAAAGGGCCACCTTAAAAATAAGTTTTCAGAGACCTTGGGAACCTAACTGTAAATACTACACATAATCGATGAATGTCTTCACCTTTTATGTATTTCTTAAAACAGCCTGGAATTCTTCAACATCACTCCAGGCCACACTTTGCTTGCCTGTGTTGTTGCTATGTGTACTTGAAAGTAATAGCTGCATTCCTTTTAAGATGTTCTGTAAGTCATATTTGTCATTTATCAAGACTAGTCTTCCTTTCTCTCATGTTCAGTGAGCTGAACAGTAAGAATAGCAATAGCTAACAACATCTGCACAGCACCTTACCATTTGCAAAGAACGTTCACACATTCTCGTTTGAGTTTTGCATAGTGAACCTGTTACGAGATGTCTCTCGACGTCAATGCTAAAAGTGGTAGAATCTTTAAATGACTGTTGTCATTGAATATGCTATTGTGTTGAGTAGTGCCCTGACTAGTGGGAGAATGTAGATGCGCTACATTTCAGGCCGTGTGTAATTATCCAGATGAGGGACTTGAGTTCTTTAGCCACTTGGATCAGATTTACTTTTGTAAGTGATGCTTTTCTAACTGTTATCTGGATGAATTTTTGTATCCATTATATTCTAGCCTGTAAT